TTGAATGATTGATTAGGTGACCACTAGAAAGCTGATAACGCAATTCATTTCACTTAAAAAAATCATTGAAGATAAATATCAAGCAAAAATGCTCCACAGTTTCTGGTTTTAGTTTCTGAAATCTGAGGATGCACTGCTTTTATCTGTTTTATTAATATGTAAATTGAATATTTTCAGGTTTTTAACTGTTTAAGCCATTCAACAAACCAATTTTACGAATGTCACCTTGTGTTTGTGCCTATTAGTCACTATTTTCTGAGACTTTATAGTTGTCAATACACAGTGAATTTTGCCAAAAAAGACCATGAATCATTGAACTGAAGGAATAATCTATAAATGAATCAATAATGAGATTAGTAGTTCAGATTGAAATACTAGAGTAACCCTGTAATAGATTACGTTGATTTGATTAGTTTAAAGAAAGGTTTTATTCATTAAGTTGTAAAAGAGTTTGTACCCTAAAAGTAATACGATTTTAACAGTATCCGCACTGTGTACGTTAAAGAGTAACTAAACCCTAAAACCATTTTTTTCATCTGATAATCATTGTTTCTGGTTGTATAGTAGTGTTACTGACTGATCCTGCTCAAAATCTTGACAGTTTAGTGCAAACTGTTGAAAATCTACATTTTATTTTAAAAATGTGCTATGGAGTGCCCTCTACAGCTTGAAACCTGGTTACTACATTTGAATTTATATTACATTACATTGGAGGCGAATGACTCTTTTTCGAGGCGAATGACTTCACTAACCGTCCACGCTAAAGCCTGCCCTCCTCCCTTTACTCCTCCTCCCCTTACTATAAAACCATTCTGTCCCCAGTTATCAAACTGATAGCGAGTAGGTTGGATCAGAGCAGAGAGAGTAGTAAAACAGAGAGAATAGCTAGTAATTTGTCGAATTGTATTGTTAGCATAGTGTATTTTAGTGTAGGTTTACAGTTAGTAGTGTGTTTATAGTATTTAGGTTAGTTGGTCAAGGAGAGGCGCCGAGGCTCGGGAGTATTTGTGCGGGGCGGCGAGGGAGGGATGTGGCGGGCCGCTGTGCGGTGAGAGAGAGCCGAGCCTTGGTTGTATATGTGCGGGGCCGTGAGGGAGGGAGGGGTGGATGGATGGATGGATGGATGGATGGATGGATGCGGTGGGCTGCTGCGCGGTGAGCCCAGGCTCCCAGAGAGGGAGAAATAGAACCAATTAGGATAAAATAAGTCAAAGTGTGGAGAAGGGGACCGGCCGAGCTCCGGCCGCCTTCCGTTCTGCCCGTGTGACACAGTTAGGGGCGGTTTTCCAAGCCACCATCGGCACAATGGATATAAGCTCCACTGTCGGCAGGGTGAAAAAAAGTCTGTGTGGAGATGGGGAGAAGGGTGAACAGGGGGAAAGAGGCCGAACTCCAGCCGCCTTCCCTTCTGCCCGTGTGACACAGTTAGGGGCGGTTTTCCAAACCACCATCGGCACAATGAAAATAAGTTGAAGTCCCTCCCTGCAGCGAGGGACAATTTTCACTCCGCCCCCTTCCTCAGCCGCTCGCTTAGCTCCGCCTATCTTTTCTGAATTTTTTTAAATCCAGCTGTGGGCGGAGTAATGCCCAGAGAGGGGGGTTTAGTTCCCCTTTAAATGTATCAAAATTAAACACGTTTGTACAACTCCATTACACCATGCTTACCAAACATTTTTAACCCTCATCGCGTGTGACTGAGGTTGTTTCTTATTGTGTTTTTTTAGGTATCTGAACTATACCCTGCTGAATTCTGGGGCTCTTCACAGCAAGATTTGTGTTAACACTTTTGCTCATTGTCATGATGACTGAATATTAAGGATGCACAATATTATCGGCACGTCATTGGTATCGGCCATGTTTGTCTTATTTTGCACAATGAATGAATATTACATTCATTGAAAAACATTCTGTTTTAGGTCTCTATCTGCTGGTGGCCATCACGATTAGATTATGCATGCATAATGTAATGGTACCTCCACTATTGAAGAGACTTGATGATCACTAAAATGAGGTGGGGAAAAAAGTGGATATATCTATTGGTTATCGACCAAATGAGTTGATATGTATTGCCATAATGGATATCAGCAAAAAATCCCATATCATGCATCCCTGCTGAATATATGTGATTTCTATGTTGTTCAAGCCAAACATTTTATATTTGTGATTCTAACACATTTCTTTGTCTTTCTAACTTCATACTGTTCCATACTGTTCTTTGGGCTTTGCAGTGTACTAGAAAAAAAAGCATGGATTAAATTTTTATCTAAATTAAATCAGTTTTCATTCCTTTTAAAAATTTCTCAAAGTTCAACTTTTAAAGCAACATTTCTGTAAGTCTAATTCACACTAAAATAAGCAGGGACAAATTTAAAGAATCCAATCAGTTTTATTAGTCTTTTTCCATGTAAATGGATCCATGTTTGTGTTTTGGAGAAATTACTTAGGCTAATGTTGTATTCTATTGGTTTGTGTTCTGCATCATGACATTACTTCATTTCTTGTTATCAAATATAAAATAATAATGTGTAACTAAAATGGTGTAACTAGTTAATATTTCTATTTAAAAATTGTAGAATAAAAATACAGTTTGGATTTTTTTTATTTTTTATGGACGTGTTCAAACATGTACCCTGTCACATTTTATCGCTTAAAGCTCCATCACATCCACATGCTGGACAGCATCACCCAGATGTGCTGATCACAGGGATGACTTAAAAACAAATCAGAGCCCAGCCTCTCACCCCTGCTGCCTTTTAAGAGCCTTTAGACACAAAAACAGAACAGAATAAAACAATTACTGAAGCAACTGCCATTTAGGCTGGCATATAACCAAGAGTAAAACTAATTGCAGCACTCCTCCTAATGCACCAGTTTTATTTTTTATGATTGATTTAGAATTTTCAGTTTCATATCATTAGAGGTGCTTTTCAGTTTTATATCCTAATGTGACTTGTTGCATTTTGGGAAAGTTTCAGTACTTTTCTTAAGTTGCCAATATTGGTGTGGGGAAAAATTGATATAGCATAGTATCGTGATATGTTGTGTTGAAATATTATATCTGATGCCACGTTTTTTTAATTATATAAATGATCAATTTTGCAAATACAAATTAAACTCTTGGTAGCCTACTAAATAATAAAATCAGTTGCTTTTTCACAGGGATGTCCCGATCCAGCTTTTTCACTTCCGATCCAGTACCGATATTACAGCCTCGAGTTTTGGCCGATACCAATCCGATCCAAGCGCGTATTATACATATTCACTTATTTTGTTGTCAGTCATGTTAGAAAAGGTTTGATCAAGCGATATTACTCTAACAAGAACAACTTAATCGGGTTAGTTAGAATGATTCACCAAACTGACCTGTTTATTGTTAACAGGGTTAAATAAACAAACTTTAAACTTGAACATTAACATTAAATAAAAAATATAGCTGGTTTGCTTTGGCTGCTTTGGCCCCTTAATAAATAGAAAATAAATCAACACAAGAAATCTTTAAAATGTCTAACATTGAAATTAAAATAGCAGCAAGACTCCACACACGTGTGCTTTGGCCCCCTAATAAATAAAAAATAGATTAACGCCACAAGACATTGTTGACATTTAACAAACAATGCAGCCTTTCCTTTTCAGTTATTTTTGTAGTGTCAGTACCTGCCTGGTGCTGCTGTTTCCTGTGTGTCTGCATGCTGGCCTGGTGGATTGATAGTAAGTGCTGGAGCAGATCACTGGAATGGACTGCTTGAATCGCGGAGTGCTGGGCTGGCCGGAAAACCTGGATTGGACTCCATAAAAATCTTGGATCGGCATTTTTCCATGCAGTCCAATCCGATGCCGATGCATGTTTTTTGCTAATATCGGCGGCTGATACATCCCTACTTTTTCAGTCCACTAGATGAATTTTGCTGCGATAAAAATGATTATCGTGAGAAATTCTATCATTAAACTTGATCTTAAAACACACTTGTTCATCAAGGCCAATGGCTTCTAGCTCACTTATCTCCGACAATCATTCTGTTCTTGTTTTGTTTTTATTTTCCTTGTATTTGTGTATTCATGTATTTATTTTTGTTTTATTATTATTATTATTACAATTATTTAAAACAGATGTTGACAAAGTTTCCCATTGAGGACATAATTTACATTTGAAAAAAGGCAAAAAAAAATTGCAATATATATTGCAAGATATGTTATGGCAAAACATTTAAAATCACATTAATATTGTATTGTGACTAAAGGATTGTGATAATATCGTATTGTGAGGCCTCTGGTGATTCCTTCTCCTAGTCGACAATGGACAAAATGCAACCTAAGAGCTGTGACTTCTGTGCTCCATTACACCACCACTCCGTTACTCTCCACTAATAATCACTTTGTCTATTGGTCTGTAATTGTTTTGTCTACTCACTATTAAAAAATTAATTGCAAAGACTTGTGATTTGTGGATATTGGCTGTGCAAAGCAGCTTTCACCAAACAGCTGCATTTATAACATTTTAGTATAAAAGTGAAGGTTTGCTCCAGAAGTCAGGCATCATATAATATCCTTTGTGGAAGGTATTTCTCTCAGATATTCAGAGACATTTTTTAAGATATGCATGTACACCCTCTATGAGAAGATGCTTTAAATTAAAATATACCATATATAATATGTTGAATTTCATATCAGAGCATCTCCACTTGGATGCCAGTGTTCCGCGTAGCAGCAGTGAGGAGGAATGATGTGTACGGTGGTTGTTATTGAGGTGTGTATCTTACCATCCTTTGGGAGATGATCTCACTGTGTCCCATTCAGTCAAAGAAGCGTTGCAGGGAATGAGGATAGATGGCCTTGTCTGTAAAAGGTGACCATCACAGCCTGCCTTTTTTCATGCTTCGGCCTATATTATCTGTCTGGGAAGCCCATGTATTTATGTTTCATGTTTGATAGAACAACAATGTGTCATTGCCTTCTGTAACTATGTACTTTTTTCCCTCTCTTCCTGTCTTTGTTTTCTGCAGGCTGGCGAAAGAGGAGATTGCGTACAAAACAGAGGCGAAGCAGCAGGAGGAGAAGGTTGAGCGCCTGAAAACAGAGGGAGCAGACGATTATCTCATCAAGAAACAGGTATGTGGCTCCTTCTTTAATACCGCACAATTACGTGTCTTCATTTGAAAACCTTTGCATTATCCATTTATCATCCTGTTGATCTCAGCCAGTAAGTGAAGAGGTTTTGCTCCCCCATAGTTAGGAAGTGAATTCTATCTTGATGATTTGAGTATCCCCTTCATTCATGTAATGAGGTCAGTCCACAGTGATAATGAAGAATTAGGTTTTGAGAGGAGAATCATTAGTGATTTTGTAATTTGCTTGATGCAGATGTAATTATATCATGTTACTTTAGAGGAGTTTGATAATTACTGACACATGCTGGCAATTTAGTGTCCCCACCCTCCTCTCCATTCTCTCTCACTGTGCCTGCTGCCCTCCATCATTTGTGCGTGCACTGGAGGAAGCAGTATAAGGTTTGAAATTTTGTATGACACACGTTACTAGCTTGCTTTATGCTGTGATAACATGTTAAACACTGGCCTGTCTTCATGTTTCTTTTCTTGTAACTTTTTTGAAAATACCATTTTGATAATAGAGAAACTTAAATGCAGAAATAGGACTAGGATGGGGTCATCAATTAACACAGACAGATACATGAGTACAGTTCATTACACAGGGATTTGGGCCAAAATGGTGAAATTAAGAAGAATATTAAATATAAGACATTAATCAGTGTCTGTTTCCTGAGAGTATCTATCCCATTTCATCCAGTATTTTTAGCCATGTTAGCACTATGGTTCAAGGGATGGCGATGTCTGTCTGTTGGTCAAACTGTCTGTCGGTCCTAGTGATGTCACGATACCAAAATCTTTGTTTCGGTACCAATACCAATATGAATTTCGATACTTTTCGATACTCTTTGGTACTTTTCCTAAGGAAAAGTCCTTCTGGATACAAACCTTTAGAACAATAAATAGTAGGGGTGAAACGGTACCAAAAAAATCATGGTTAGGTTAGTACCTTGGTACGGACGTCACGGTTTGGTAACTCAAATGTTCCACCAAGTTTGTGTTGTCTCGTGTTGTCTCCCTTTGCGAGGCAGACTTTCTCTTGTCTTTTTTCACGTGCGCCAGCTGCGAATGTTGATACAGGTGTTGTCATACACACCACTTGCGCAATCTGTGCTCCAATAGGAACAAGAAAGGCATTTGTGTGCATAATTGAGTAAAATAAATTAACTAAATTAATGAATTCAATCAGTTTCAAAGTACCGGTATTTTTCCAAATGCAGTATAGTACCGTTTGGAATACTCTAGTACTGCGGTACTATTATAGTACAGGTAAACCGTGCAACACTAGTCGGTCCATTACTTTAGTGCAGACTGAAATATCTTAACAACTATTGGATTGATTGCCATGAAATTTTGTATGGACATTCATGCTCCCCAGAGGCTGAAGCCTAGCGTTAAGCCTTTTGGTTATTCCCTGATTTTTCCTGTAGCGCCTTACAACTTTCAAATTTAGGGTTTTGAGGGAAATGTCTCAACTATTGGATGGATTGCCATAAAATTTAAGATCACTTTAGTGATCCCGTGAGTTTATAACTAGCACCATCATCAGGCCAAATTTCAAAGTGCCAAATACTTTATTAAATAATTCCTATGTAAAGGTTCCCTGCTTCGTATATCTGTTTGCATATATTTAGTGTCTTTTTTTTCTTATTTTGGTTGTCTCTTTTTTGTGTTTTATGTATATATTCTATTAATTTTCATATGTTACTTCTGCTTCTGAATGCAGTCTATGTATATATTTTTGTTCTCCTTATAGAATTTGATCTATTGATGGTTTATTGTGATTTTTTTCTAATTATATTTGTTATATTCTCACTGTTATAGAAACCTATAATGCAGGTTTCTATTTATGAGTGCATTGTGTAAAGGGAGTTTTGCTTATATGCCTGCAGTCTGGCAAGTGGAGTGCTGATTGGCTCCACCCATGTCTGAGTAGGGCCTCATTTAGGCCACCTGTGAACCCTGCAGCTTTATGCCCTGATGAGCATGGCCGAAACATGTTGGTGATTTTAATGTTCATCATGAACTAGCCATTTAATAAAGGCCTTTTAAGTTTTGCACCAGAGAAGAGTTGCCTTGGATTTTGTTTTTTCAAGATGTACTTCACTTCCTGACCAAAGAGCACCTTCATGGATACCATGATACTGCAACCCACATGAGCGCCTCATCTGCTGTTGTCTTCAATGCCAAATACTTTGGTTTGGGACTAAATACTGCAAAGCTAATAACATTCCCTTCAGCTTCAGCTGTGCTTCGTGTTAAGTGCTAATTAGTAAATGTAAGCATGCTAACATGCTAAACTGACATTATTTGTGCGTTCCATTTTCACTGGGAAGTAGAATTTCCAAGTTCACAGTCGCACATTTCTACTGGAACGCCCGCTGGGGTAGGATGTCTGACTCAGAAAGTTGGAGGAACCTTGCTTAACCTGGCTTTAAAAAACAATATGGCTGCCCCACATGGCAACAGCATAGAGTGTATATTGTAATGGATGTAGCTACTGTTACGTCACTCATTGGTCTGTGACTGCCGTTTTGAAGCCTCGCATATGTCATTTTGGCCGTCTCCATCTTGGATTTTTGGAGTCAGAAGTGGCCATGTTTGGATGAGAGGGTGTAGCTGTGGAGGAGCAGGGGTTGGATCTGACTTACAGACTGTAGTGACGCATCACAGACAGCCTTACTCTCAAGCGGCCCCGTCCTTAAATATGACGGCTTTAAGCCTTAATAAAGTTGTAAATGGGTGAGTTATAAAAAAAAAAAATTCAACCCCTGCACAGTTGTCGTGTATGTTGAAATTAGTTACAAAGACAAAAACCCTTTTTAATACCAGGCTGTAAACATGTTTATTTCTATTGTCAAGTTTGGCATTTTCACATGGGGGTCTAAGGGGATTGACTGTGTTTTGGAGCCAGCCTCAAGTGGCCATTTAATGAACTGCACCTCTCCATTGGCTTCATTTTTCAGCCTCAGGGTTTGTCGCTTGGTCACCAGTGGTGAAGCGCTAGCAATATACTTTTTATTACCACTTCTGTCTTATTTGTGTGTGGTCAAACAGTCACACATCATACTGTCCAACTTCTGTCTGTGGAAATGGTGTTTGTATGCCAAAAAATACAACATAATGCCTTGTAGTCAACTGGTATTGCCAACAATGGCTAACCTAGCTGGAACTGTCATTGATAACAACATCTTGGTTTTACTGGATTGTGGTCAACTCGACTGTGACATCATTTCCATCCTCTCTTCTCTTGGACTTTCAAGGTAAATGTAACGCAGCATGTACATGCTAAACATTAGCATGTTAGCATTGTTATTGTGGGCATTTTAGCATGCTGACATAAGCATTTAGCTCAAAGCACAGCTGATGCACAGACTGGTTGTTTCCTTGGAGTGCAGATAGTTGACAGTGTTTATGAAAAGCATCATAGTAGGAGGATCCTCTAAAGCTGCGATAGCCATGGCTGGAGGCATCATGTTTTTGGGTTGTCCATCCGTTCCATCCTTGTGAACACGATATGTCAAGAACGCCTCAAGGGGACTTCTTCAAATTTGGCACAATATCCACTTCGACTCAATAATGAACTGATTAGTTTTTGGTGATCATAGGTAAAAGGTCAAGGTCACTGTGACTGTGTCTGTCTCATTCTTGTGAATGTCAGTATTTCAAGAATGCCTCAAGGGAGTTTCTTCAGATTTAACACAAACATTCACTTGGACTTGGACTTAGAATTGCATTTTAGTGGTCAAAGGTCTCTTTCTCATTCTCGTGAACACAATATCTCAAGAACACCGTACAGAAATTTCTTGAATTTTGACACAAATGTCCACTTAGATTGAAGAATTAACTGATAAGAATTTTGTGGTCAAAGGTCAAGGTCAGTGTGACCTCACAAAATATATTTTTGGCCATAACTCAAGAATTCGTATGCTAAACATGACAAAACTTCATACAATTGTCTAATAGGACAAAGTAATGAAGCTATGACATTTTATATCCAAAAGGTCAAAGGTCATCTTCACTGTGACATCATAACATTCTACAAACACACATTTCTGGCCATTATTCAACATCATCTCAGGAACAGGAGACATATTTCTATTCTTCTGTGCTACTGCAAAAACAAAAAAATCCACAACAAAACATTGAATCTAAAACCCAGTATCCTTGACATTAAATGCCCCCCTTTTTCCCAAAAAGGGCTGAAAATGTGGACAAAACTAAAATATGTGGGTATGATCCACAGAGGCCTCAGTCTCAGTTAATTTGTTGATTCACTTTACATGTTTCAGGCAGAGAAGAATTGCAATGCACTCACCGCTTCTGATTATGTTTACTGGTAACATTAAAATTCAGTGTGTGTTTTGTTTTGTTTGTTCATTCATAAAGCGGCAGCTCAGGCTGAGCAGCAGGCTTGGCTGGTGTTAAATGGGGAGATTGGGAGGCCAGATGGATTATGGTTGGAGATGAGAGGTCTGAGGCAGGATGGATTAGAGGTTTTTATTTTAATGGAATCAATACGCTGTAAGTGTCATCTTTATCCAGCACTGATGGGATCATTCCACTGCACTGGGAGGGCACCATGACTTTTCTCTGTTTCAGTACTCCTTTGCTTAGTCTGCTTCACCTTGTCACATCTAGATGGCAACCAGCTCGACTAGTTGTCTACCGTCTTTCAGTGTGTCAGGTAGTCTGCCAGCCTGTCTGCGTATGAGTTCATCTGACTGCCTGTTAGTGTGCACAGCCGTGTAATACACACGCGTGTAACGGCATCCATGTTTAGACTTTCCAGCTCGACAGAGGGCTAGGTGAGGAAGCATCTGTCATGAGTGAGTGTGTCTGACAGCGTTAGCCAACTCTTCTCTGCTCTTTAGGGTGCCAGCTGGGGGAATTCCACATTAGCCGCGGCTGTGAAAGTTCCCCAGGCTGTAACACAGTTTCACTCCAGGCGTAGTAATACCTCTTTACGCCTGATCACAGTGCCCTCGGCTTCAGGGTTTCTTCATTTATCCAGGTGTGCAGTCAGATCGAGGTGGTCCCCTGCTGCCCAACTCCCTGCCCGATCGATAACTCAATAACATATTTCATACCGCCGTCTTGTTTGGAGATGTTAACCACAGTAGAGTGTATGTGGGACACCCTGCATGTTTCTGTCAGGAACAGGGCGACAACCAAATGCAGCGAATGAGTATGCCTGTATCTAGCTGTTAAATTAATGTTCTGTACTTGGAAAATACATGTTCGATGATGTGTTGATTTTTGTAATGAAAAATTCTAACGGGAGCAGTGGTGGGGGTAAGTCCAATTAATAAAGATGGTGATGGCACTGATGTGGTCTCTGTGTGGTTTCAGATGGAGGTATTGCAGGAGTCCAAAATGATGATCCCAGACTGCCGTCGTCGTCTGACCATAGCACACGGAGATCTGCTTCAGTTATTAGTAAGTAACTCTCAGAGTCGCTGTTAAGTGAAAGTGTAAAAAACCTTTTTCATCTCACAACAGGACACAACTGTGTGGATGAAACTCTCGATCCATTTATTGTTTCTGTGTTACGGTAACTAATTTATAACCTTGTTGAAAAACTACATGGGGTAAATTTATTTTTGAAATATTATAGACACATGACAACAAAAGCAACCATTCATCACAAAATTAGCCTGAACCTCAGCTTGTGTTTGACACAAACGGGGTTTCTCCCTACCCCAGTGTACCTTATAGTCCTTTTTGTTTCTGTTACATTTCTGAGAAAAACTTTACAAAGCCGATCTAAAACCAGACATGTCCCATGGTTCATTCTTATGTAGGAGAAAGTGGACATTGCTCAACATTTGATTGACTACAGCAAACTGCTTATGCCTTGAGTTTGGAAATGTGAGAATTTATTTGTAAATAAAGCTGCAGTAACTATAATGTTGGCCATTAGGGGCCAGAAATATTAAAACAAACACAGTCCTATCCTAATAATGTCTTTTATAGTTATTATGGCTAAGGTGTTGGCAAACAACTGCCCTTTTAGGCATCCAGCAGAAAAAGAGCAAAATTATAATTCATGTAGAGTCAAATTTCTGGCTACTTGACAAATCTAGCTACTAGATATATTCTCTAACTTTGTCTGTCTGCTGTTAAGTGCAACAGGGTTCCCATGGATCCTTAGAAAGTTTTAATGAATGAATTAATCTAAAACACTAATAACTAGTAACACTAATTTTTAAAATAATTTACAGAGCGTCTCACACATTAATGTCACACAGATTAGGATAGTGGAGCCAGCAAAACATTCATAAGCCCCATTTTTACCAAGCAGTACAGTACCGTACAGTTCAGTACACTTTTTTTCTGTTTCCACTGTGAAGAGTTGTGGATGTACCAATGGAACCGTTCCACACGGTCCTCCCTCTTTTTGGGTACCTAGCACACTGATCCGGTACTAAAAGGTGGAGCTCTGAACACTGCAGTCCGTTAATTGGTCAGTAGCGGACTGTCACTCTTGCTCAGAGCTGAGTTGTGGCTGGTTTTGAGGCTTATGTGACCCCTGTTCATACCATGGAGAGTTTTATTAGTAGAGTGTAACTATAAAATGATGTTTTGTTGCCTCTCACAGCAGCTGTTGTCTGAGAAAAAATAACTTTCACTTTACTGGGCCAACTGCCAGCGACTTTTAAGGTGGAACTTGTAATGTTAGTCAATGCATGAGTTGACGGCATGAATCCATCAGCACACCTTCAATTTTACTGTGACAACTTTGACCATTCCATTAGTTTTTATATGACATACAGTTTTAGTAATGAGTGGATCTTGAAACATTTATATTTATTAATTTCAACCGGGTTATGTGAACGGCATATAATCTCATCCTCACTCGAAAAAAAAAAGCATTGGGGAGCGTTGTGTGGGCTCTGGCAACACTAAATCCCCCGAGCTTGCCTTGAAAGGACTAAATGTGCAAATCCACTATTTTTAAATATCCCATGGAGAGAGACTCTCACTGCAACCTGTTGTATTCTGTTCTGAAAATGTTGGCGTGCAACCTCATTCTGTAGACGATAAACGAGGTGCAGACTTCCATCTGTGTCACCGGTAATGAGGAAATACAATGAGTGCTGGACAGAGCAGTGAGTGACAACAACCCTGCCCACATAAGAGTACTGTTTGCAGTGGAAATGCTAGGGTCTAGGTACCATGTCTGAAGGGTTACTTTAGGTTCCAAAGGTACCATACTGAAAGAGTTTGGTGGAAACAGGGCTTATACTGTCTGCTAGCTATCTGTCACTGTACCTTGGACAACATGAGGAAGTGCAGATTCAACAGAGATGGGCTATTTAACCAAGATTTTGCTGCATGGCTGAAACTGACTTTGTGTAGTTTATGCAAAACGTTTTTCACGCTCGACACAAAGGGAATCAAATCAGTGGAATCCCCAATACACAATATTGACTTACCTTAAAACAGATGTAGACATCATTGTTAATCTTATTCACGTTGAGTTGATGTTGTGGTGTACCGCACAACGTTATCCAAAGGAGGCACTTTTCTCGGTTGAGATGTGGTTTAGGAAAGGGTAAAAAAAATACACCCCTTCGCCCAGCCTGTACCCCATGCACACCGTTTGACCATTTTTAAACTTCAAATCTCCAAAAAAGCTCATAAAACCAAACAAAACTGACTTTCTGTAATGCATTTCAATGAATGTCCAGGCAGAGAATGTCTGAGTGTATGGGAATGGCTATAAGCACTGTGATTGGCTCATTGCGTTTGATGGCGGGGCTTAGCCATAGGTCAATTGAGACAGGCCTTTATTTGTCAAAATGTGTAGCCACACCAGGCTAGTAAAAGAAACTGGCCATTTGATTGTAACTAGTTTTTATGGCACCTTATAATAACCAATAATGCTTATTGCAAAGCACTAAAACCAGGACCACCATTAAGCCACCCTTAATCCCCGCAAGGAAATTCCTTCACTGCAACAGCCTTACCTTTGAACTGACATTGCACTGTAATAGAATGCAATGTTAGTGCATAGCTCAAAGCACAGGTGTGCCAAAATACCTCCTCACAGAGAGGATGGTTGTAGGTTGTTATGGTATTTTCCATTTGCACTGGGAAGTCGGAATTAAGAGGTTCTCATGCAGTTGAATGTTTCAACTGGAACGCCCCCCAAAATCCAAGATGGCGGTTCCGTACATGAGCAGTAGTGTAAGTTGTAGTAATATAGTGTTTATTAGATCTTCTGTCTTATTTGTGTGTCATTACAACAGTCGTTCACACAGTTCTGTCCAACTTCTATCCTTGGACGTGTTGCTACAGTGTTTGTATGTGCAAAAAACACAGCGTAATGTGTTGTTATTAACTGGTATTATTAACAATTGCTAACCTAGCTTGAACTGGTATTACTAACACAATCTTGGTTTTCAAAATAGTTTTACTTTAATGCAGTCAACTGACGGCATTCCCAGCTCTGACCTCTGACCTCAGGCTGATGTGTCACTTACTTTGTATTGGTGTGATAGCATATATCTCAATGGGCGATACCTCAAAGCTGAATCAAATAAAACTGCAGCTAATCTACTTGACCACATAAGAGGTTATGGGAAAATGTTCTTTTTTTGTAATTTCATTGAACTGAACAGGAAAATATGCTCAAGCATCACATGTTACACTAATTACCCATATTTTGGTGTATCCATGCAACCACAGCGTGTGTATTTAATCCCGTCAGGACTTAAGTTGATATGGTGAGAAGCAAACATAAGCATGCATGTCTCAGGGTCATCTCAATTAATCCAGAGCAACAGTCAGGCAGCTGGTGGTGGTGTGAGTCACTCACATGAGAGCTGGATGGTAGGCAGAGGGAGCTAACCTGGAATTAGCAACATGTCCCCTTCCCCTATCACTCATCCTCCCTCCTTTCTTCCTGTTAGACAGACATGCACATATGCACACGCTCATCACAGTTCATTAGCAGCGCTGTCACTTCGATGACCACCACAGGAACTCGCACACACTTGATTAAAGGACATGGACACCATACTGTCATGTTATCCCTCGGCCCAACCCTTAACTGCTAAATTTAGATCCTGGTAACTGAAATATGACCTTGTGCATTAAGTTTTATGACGATAATGAAGTGACATCCAAACAATACTTTTATAAAGACAGTGACAAAAAGAGAGTTGTGGATTTCTTCATAAGTACCCAGCTGTAATTCCTCATTTTTGGGTGTAGGAGATTGCAATATTTTTTTCTGAAATGCCAATAAAACAAGCGTGTGTGTGTGTGTTTGTGTCTTTTCAGGAAGCAGAAGAGGATTTGGGTGAATCAGAGGAGTACAAAGAGGCTAGAAACGTATTGGACTCAGTGAAGCTTGAAGGATGATTTCTGATCTGTTTCTGTTCTCACTGTGAGATTCACTTGCTTTAAATGTCCATTCCTTTCGTCAGGCCCTGTTTGGAAAGCGTGGAGGCAAGCTGAATCCATTCAGAGTCTCTGTTCTTGATGTAATTATTTCTACTGTTTACTGTTAACGTGCCACCACATTTGATCACACTCCTCCTGTGAGTAAAATCCCACAAGAACACGATAAAACATTCAGAGTTTTTTTTTTTCCTTTAACATTTTATTCATCATACTAATACACAATTTGAACTTCATAGACAGGATGAAATACACGCAGGTTTGTCTTTTCTGCATTTTTAATGGTGTGGGTCCACTGTGGGATTGGCTTTACACTGGTGACTATTGTATTTGGTGAAAAACTGCAAATGACTGTAGAGTGTGTTATGAAGTGACGGCTTTCCTTAATACTTTTCTAATTCATTTTGCATTCCTTTTATATGTATTTGAGTTGCTTAAACCTGCAGGACCTTTATTGGCTCCAGCCTCAGATAATGATGCATCCCAGAATACTTACCAAAGCCGCAAGTAACAATTATTTTCATTATCAGTTAATCGTTTGATTAATTGTAAAAATTACCTATCACAATATTCCTCAGCTTGTTTTGTTTGTTCAAACAACAAATATAGTTTACTGATAATGATGTAAAACAGTGGCCAAGCAGAAAATGATCAAATTTGAGAAACTAAAAGCATTGAATGTTGGCATTTTTTTTTTAAATCAATTTTAAAAATGATTGGGGATTGTCATTTTCTTTCAGTCTACTAATCATTAATAAACTGACGGTTTCAGCACTCAACTGATGGATGTAATTGCAGTGAATTATCCTGTTAAGAGCAGTGAAATGGATTGTGTCTTGATACCTACAATAAAAAGGAGCACTTTGGGAAACCCTGTCAGTCAAAAGACAAATGTTGGTTCTAGCCATGAATGATGAAACAGGCCCGTCTGGTGTCCCTGCGGCAGTTACATCTATTATCCAAATGGCCTAAAATAACGACACCTTGTATTAAGGCTGAGAGAGTCCTTCCTAAATAGTCCGACTAATAAATGAACTCAATTGCCAGACAAATTAAGGTTACATTTGACTTGATCCTTATTTTACAGATTTCGATAATTATCGGGATCACCCCAAAGTCTCATTACTGCCCTAATGAGGCGCTGCTACTCCGTGACATCTACCCCGCTCCATCTCGTTAAGGAAATCGCTCTTCAATGCTGATTATTTTATTTGGAGGTATAATTATATTTCTTTCGGATAAATCACGGCCTAATCGAGTCCGTGCAGAGGGCAGCGGCGCTAATTGAGGCATGAGATGCAGCGGCGGGGCGCTACATCTGGGTTTTGTGACCAGAGGACCCGTGCAGGCTGCTCACTGCTCTGAACATGTTGAGGCTGGGTAACAAGAACTATTCACATCCTATATTGAAGCAAAAGTAGGAAAAAACAATGTAAAATGCTCTGTTACAGGTCCTGCATTCAAATGATTTACTTGGGCTAAAACTATGGAAGTATTATCTGCAGAATTTAGGCTACCTTAACTATCAAAATAGAAGCACTCATTAAGTAGCAGAATGGACCCTTTCAGGGAGTTGTATATATTAGCCTATATAATTGGATTTTATTACTAATGCATACACTTTAAAGCATTTAAATGTGGTTGAGCAAATATCAGCTAGTTTATATCCTGGTGGATAGTTTCATCTATGGAAATGCATTTTATTTTATAAACTTATCACCTCTGAATGTAGATCTTAATTCGGAAAAAGTCTGGTAGCCTCACTGTAGGTGTCAAATACATGTAGTGAATAAAAAGCAGAATATAGTGTCAGACATGTATAGAGGACTAGAAGTATGAAATACCTTAAAATGAAATGCAAGTATTCAAAGTCATAAACATAAACCACTGCACACTGAACTGACCTACTGTGATTTATTAAGAGTGAACAACACCTTTTGCCCGTGGCTTCTTCAGGTTCGCTCAACAAACTCTTAAGAGCACTCACAGGCGTGCCAAATATACATGGGTCATATGTCTACTTATCACAGCAAGTATTTAAAACATCATTTTAAATACAGTACTACAGTAGGCCCAGCTACGTTCCATCCTCCATACTTCTTCCATACTCATAACTTGACTCAAAAGTAACAGTGGGGCTTCTTTATCCCTAATTTGGAATGTAGTTACTCACACTGAACTCCTTTCTCAAACAAAACTAACCTCTCTGTTTCTAAGATCACCTCTCATCTGCTATGAATTATCAAGGACACCTATAGGCCTTCTAAAATTAGCACTAAATGAAGGAGTTGGTTTCACTTCGGAACAAGCTTACCTGCCTTTTTCAATCTAATGATTTAAGAGACTAATGAGAGGACAGCAACATTTGCTCAAGTAATACAATTTTGAGGTATTACCACTTAAATTGTACGTCACTTTATACTTGTACTTACAATTCAGATGAAAATATTGCATTTTTTACCAGGCTACCTTGCAGGTGAAGATTTTAAAATGGTCAAAGTCAGTAAATTAAACCACCAATCAGTATACAAAATGGGTAAAATAAGCTCTACAACATTAAAATTCTGCTTCCATGTTAACATACCATCAAACTTCAGTGCATGGCCCAGGCTATTATTTGCTTAAATCACTGCAATCAACAGGCCTATATTTGGGACAGGCCTTTGATTCCTTTCACACAGAACTGTTTCTCAGCAAAGATCGGGAAATACAATCAAATTGTTTATTTAAACCAGTATGAATATTACTTGTTTAAAAATTAGGTTTCAGGTAATGTCTCAATTATGAATCATTCATTTGATCTAACTCCAACAGACAGGGTATCAGAGAGAGAGAGTGAGTTATGGCGCTCAGGAAATACGGCATCTGGCATACCGACACAACACTTTATCCTGTTAAAACAATCACAAATTGGATTAATTTTTATGAAACCCTTTCAATCTGAGGACTAAAGGAATACGAATACTATACTTGGGTAATCAAGGAATGGACACATAACTTCAGATAGCCAACAACCCAGTTTTATGCATTCAAAGAACATCTATAAAAGAATGAACTGCTTGGCAACCAGACCAGGCGTCTGATTGAGACAGGCTTTTATTTGTGAAAATGGGTAGCCACACAGGGCTAGTGAAAGGGACTGGGTGTGTAATTGGGATTAGGCCTTTAAGGGCAGGGGGACAGACATGGACAGTGATTTTGACAAAAGACATACCATACATCCATGCAGATTGCAAATTGGTGTATGAAAATTCACCAGATTCACCATAAAGATATAGGCTACAGTACCACAGTGCAATAGTGGGTAGCCTGTAGTGTCATACTTGAGTACTTGAGTTCTGTCCCAAAAATGGGACAGAACATATTAATGAACATCAACAATGTAAATATGTAAGAGATTGTAGCCATGCGGCTAATTTCCATCCCTTGTCCCATTGGCAGGTAGGTGTTCAGGGAGAGAAAGAGAAGAGAGAAAGGGAAGGACATCAAAGCATCAAATCTTGTTGAAGATACTTTATTAGAACGTTAGCTGTTGGTTACTATTTATTTTCAGGTTTATTGATATTAAAAATAGGTTATAATTGCTCAAGATACTGACAAGAGTCCCTATTGCCGCCTCCCTCGCGGAAGCGGCATTGTGACCGATGCGTTTTCCGCTCACGCGAACGCGCACATTGTCCCCCTTTTCTTTCGCTAAACTTTGTCCAGCCAGCATGTCAAACTTTCTCCGCTGGCCGCAGGACGCAGAGCAGCCCGGTATGGCTGCAGCATCAGCTGCTCTTCTCCTCTTCAGCACAGTAACTTATTACTCCTAATCCCCCTCAGACTGTCACCAAATCAGCTGCATGAAACAAGAATCTCATTTGTTAAACTGGGGCCTGTGCAGATGGAAGATCGATTGTTTTTCTCCTCAGAAATCTCTAATTGAGTGAATACAGACTGCAAAGGCGGATCAGAGAGAGGAAAGGGAGAAAAAAATCACCCGGGCCTTGAGGTTTGGAGAGCCTGTACTGTGACCAAAAGGTTAGAGGTTCGAGCCCCGCCTGCCAACAACTGTGCGTCCATCCGCAACAATCACACACATGGATGTGAAGGTAAAAGCCTCAGAGACTTCAGCCTTAACACACCAACAGTATCACACTTTTCCGTTGTTGTTGTTTTTAGCTGTTTTTAATAAAAGTCACTCCTCATCTCCACAACCCGTGAAAATGTCTACTTTCCACTCAGATGCACCGCATTAACTTGCAGGGGGCGAATTTGTTTGTCTATTTTTATTTATGTCATGGGTAAGATTGATGTGAGCATGTTGGTGGAGAGATGGAGCAAACTGTGCTGTGCTCCTTGTTTACCCTAATTACAGCCTTATCAACCCAGGTCCTTCATCACAACACACATACGCATACATTTTTTTGACACTATTAAGTGAAAATATGCCTTTGAATTAGATGAATTAAATAAATTGCATCTGATAAAAATAACTTCCAGGGAGCTTAGTTTATCAAACAGCAAACTGGGTAAAAAAAAAAAAAAGATAGGTATCACTCGTGCCTAAACTGCATTAAATAAATTATAGTTTTATTACCCATGTACCCAAACTTGCACATTTAAATCTATACAAACTAAATAAATTATACAGGCAGCTATCACAAACGTCTTTATCATGAATAAAAATCACCTTTTCACCATGGGAAAAAACTGACGCCTCATATAAATACACGAAATATGAAATATATATTAGACATGATAATATTTTCATTTTTGGTGTTATTCGGCCCTTCCACTGTAGCTTACAAATATTTCGTGCCTCCTGACAGCTCATCAGCTCCCATCTGTCTCGTTGTTTTGAGTTAAATATGACCTGCTGTCACGAGACAAGTCATTCACTTGTGTTTGTACAGCTATAAAAGCGCTCAGCTATTGAAAAGTCTTAAAATGAAAGTGCGCAAATCATCATATCATAATGTGATGATTTTTAAATGATCCTTATTAGCTGTCAGTGCGCCACGAGAGAAATACTACGACTTTTGTACATGCTTATTAATAACAATAGGGAATAATGTATAAAATCTGTAAAAAAAACCAAACAAACAAAAAAAAACAAAAAACAATACACCTAATTTTGAATTAAGGCTTAATCCCAGTTTTAGAGCTTTTAAAATCTACCTTGAAGTCCAGCTGCTAAAAGAATGAGAGCCTCGATAAAAGAGAGGATAAGAAAGAAATATCTCCAAATGCGCGTCTTCTTCTTTTCCTCCTCTGGAAGAAAAGACGCAGACATCATCAGCGCAGAGAGACCAGGTCTCCTCCACATCCCCGATGCGTCCCAGCACACGACTCCACTCCATCCCTCCCGGTCTGTCCGTCGTGCCACCAGATTGCAGACAAATAAAAGATGAGCCGAGGCGATTGAAGCCTGGATGGATGAAGAAAAGGAGCCAAACGAGCCCGCGGGTTCACGCTCGGACGCCTCCATTGTGCCACTTTTTTTTCAGCACATAATAAATAAACCTGCTCTCTCACAAAACGTCCCGACATCTGTCTCAAACATGTCTGATTTTTTTTGTCCCTTAAATATTTGGCAGACTGGTGTGTGTGTGTGTGTGTGTCCGGTGTGTGTGTGTGTGTGACAAAAAGCTGTCGTGCTAATTGAGTCTTATTAAATAACAAAAGGAGCTCCTTTTCAAGGAACTTTTTCTTGTCTCATTGAGAATAAATAACCTTAATTTGGACAGATGACGAAAAATCCGAAACAAAGGCCTCCTCCACGTGTTGTAAACATGATTGTATGTTTGCCCAGCTATCTGTTCAGGTGTCAGCTTCTGCACAACCTTTCGGGTGTATTAACTGTGTCCCTTTATCAAAGGCGAGCATTCACAGCTCATGTGTCCAACT